AAACATTTTATTTTTGTGATCTATTCTTAAAGCCTGCTCAAGACTTAAATTAGAACGTGGCTACCTTTAGACAGCGAATGGGATATCTGCAAAATGCAGGGGCATATAAAATCTGACATACAATATTATGCATTTCTTTAAAACTAAGTTTGGTCCTAGCAATTAGCTGGAGGGTTCCTGCCTCAGAAAAAAAAAAGATATTCATTTAAAGCAAAACTGAACATCATCAGAACTAAAATCCATGTTATATCCTAAATCTTATGCACATTTATTCCAGAGGAAATTGTACTGTGCTGTATCATCAGATGAACAGCTCCATGCTGATGGAAAACTTTCCCTCTACATTAAGCCATGGCTTGTTTCTCCCAGAAAAGGGCATAAATGTGAAAAGAAGTAAATATGGACCCCTTTGCAAGGCTGAAATAAAGGAATTTATAGCAATTAGCAATTGGACAAATACATCACACAAATAATCATTGTAAAGGGCAAGCCATGGTTTATAGCACAATATGTGAATCCAGATAACTGTGGCTTATTGATTTATTAGATTTATATCCTGCCTTTCCTTTGTACAATTCAAGGAGGCTTAGATAATGCTCCCTCCTCCTATTTTCCCCACAACAACAACCCTGCAAGGCGATTTGGGCCAAAAGAGTGTGACTGTTTTACCAACAGTTATTAAGCAAACCATAATTTAACATAATGTGTGGAATGAACTACGGTTTTGTGGTCCCGCTGACAAATTAAAATGAATACCCTAGTAAAAGAACTTTCTTGCATAACGTTCAGAGTCAGAATTCAGGCTAACCTACCTCACAAGGTTGTTGTCCTGGGAGAAAATAGGAGGGGGGAGCTCTATGTATGCTGCCTGAAGGCCCTGTACAGAAAAGTTGCAATATACACAATAAATCAATAAATAAATTTCAGAAACATTTGCATGTTCCAGGACAGTGGACTCCAACAGCAGACCTTGCGTGAGATGGGCGGCCGTATAAATTTGACAAATAAATAAGTATCCTTGGACATCATTGAAGGTAGTCACCTGCCAGCCCTGCAAGGTAGGCCAGGTCAAGAAACAGATCCTGCAGGGATTCCAGGAATGCTATTTTATTGCAGCAGAGTAGATTAACGGAACCTTGAAAACTTGTTCAAAACTTTTCCTCCTGTTTGTTAAGTTCAGCAACGCCAGGAGGCAGGGATGAACCTCTTTCTCGCACTTTCTTCTTTCCCAAAGCTAATTTTTTCTACCATCAACTAAGTTATGGGATGCCATGCAAGCCATAATGTTTCCAGTTTTCCGTTTCAGAGGCGCGCTAAACTCTGCAAAGCTTTTCTTCTCCTTTCAAATCCAGAAGAAAATGGACAGGCATCATACCACCTTCGTTTTGTGCTTTGTGGCCAGATGTGGGCAGTGTGATCCCCGTATAACCGTGGCTGTTTTATCCACAAGTGCCTCTCCCCAGTGATAAAACCCAGAGGACATGAATCTGTGGGCCTTCTCAGATTGGAGAAATAGGCTAAGCTTCTGTGCAATACTTTATGGAAGCTATTCCAGAATTACACAGTAATTCAAAATCTCTGAATCTGCAAGGTTTTTCTCTCTTTCATTGTCAGCTGGCTGTTTAACAGAAGCATCTTTAATGGCAGAGCCAAGCAAAGGCGTCCTGTTTTATTATATGGGTTCTAAAAAGCTAATTACGTTAATTACATCGGTGCTTTCATTTTCATTGGCCGGTTTGTTAAAAAGGAAAGCTTTGTACCTCTTATTTAAAATAAGTTCTAGGTACCTGGAGATATTCCACCACTGGCAGCCATCTCCTTCTCTTTTAAAATGAAGGACTGGCTCTTTTAATCATAAAGAAAGAGGCACCAGTCATATTCTGCCAATTGCTTCTGAAATTAAATAACTAAGGGCACTTTCACATGAGAACTTTGAACCACTTCAAAACTGACTCTGGACCTGCTGGATTGCATGCCATTGGCTCAAAGTTGCAAATACCACCAGCATGAAATAGCTGTGAAATGCAATTTTAGGCACCATCAGCCGAAGTAGAATTTGGTCTACTTTATTCTGCCTTGGTCAGACCTCCTCAAGTTCTGTGTCTAGTTCCAGGCACTGTTTTAAAGAAGGACTTAGGGGAGGGAGGGAGGGAGGGAAGGAAGGAAGGAAGGAAG